CCCCGATCACGACGAAGAGCTGCTGTGGCACGTTGGGCTTCTGTCCAGGACCTTCGTGCCTCAGCTGCCAAGGACTCAGCAACTTGTTCGGCATGTTGTGCATCTTGAAGTGCAGGATCATCAAGAGCAACATCAGTGTGGTCACCCGTCTCAGTGACGTTGGTCGCGGCATGATAGTCCTCGATGTAGGGACTCCATGATGGGTCTTCATCCCAACCCGCAGCAGTAAAGGAGTCGTCCCACGACCAGGCGACATCGGGATCAGGATAGTCCTCCATGTGGTAGGCCTTCTGATAGTAACCTTGATGAGCGGCGGGTTGATGCTGTCGACCGGTGAACTGCTCATCCCACAAGGTCTGAAGTGCACGGGTGATCACGTCGAACTCCAAGCTGCCCCTGGTGGTGCTGATGATGTCTCTCTTTTCTTCAGGAGAGAGACCGGCTGCTTGCAGAAGATGGAAACCTCGAAGTACACCAAGGACGAAGCTATCCGCCAGGTCCAATTTGCCCAAAGCTTGCTTACCATGGTCGCTTGGTTGGACGCCAACGGATTGACGATGGCTTGGGGAGTGTGGTGAGCCTTCAGGGACTCGTTGGTGGCGTCCTCCGGGTGAACCACTCTCGGCTTGTTCTTGAGGAGGTGATTCGCCCTGACCAGGCTCTTCAGCAACAGTTTCAACGGTGGGTCCAGTGGCCTCATCGTGCCACTCGGCCCAGCTTTCACCGGTTTCATCCCAAGGTTCGGTGTAGTACTCCTTGTTGGGGAGGCCAAAGTCTTTGTCCTCCTGACGGATGCCCAGCTTCTCCTCGTGGAGCCTCAGAATCGCCTCGGTGAACTCGCTGTAGCCCAAGGCTTCTCTGACCAAGAACGAGTTCATCGGCTCCTGATGACGGCGATGGAAGCTGAAGTACTGCTGGCAGATAGCTGCTGCATTTGGCAAAGACTGCCTCACCAAAGGACTCTGGGCCAGCTGCTGAAGGTAGATGCGCGTGCCGTTGGGTTGGTCAAACATGTGGTGATTCCATGACATCGCCAGCAGCCGTGCGGGTCCGGTGAGCTTGCCAATCAGCTTGTGAGTGCAGTACCGACGCTTGTACGCAGGTGCCGCACTCACATACCAGCACACTTCTCGAGTGTAGCGTCTCCAGGATCTGGCAGATCCATCCCATGAAGGCGTATGACCATCCTTGTCCGCCATGATGGCAAAGTGCCGCGGCAAGGGAAAAACAGCACCCAGTCCTCTTGAACTGGTTGCGCAAGGTCACCAGCACCTAGCCGTAGAGCTCGCTAAGCAGCTCCTTGAAGGCTAGGGCAAAGGCAAGGAAAAAGGTTGAGGCCACCGAAGAGAAAGAAGATGTGGTAGCACGGTGGTCCTCGGATCTTGTGCTCCGCTACCAACGCAGCGAGTGCTGCAATGGTAGCGATTGGGCTCCTAAAGTGAATGCTCACTTCTGTGATGAGGTTCACGAAGTCACTCGGTCAAGTCGGCTGGCGACTGTTTTCCACTCGGTGCGAGGGCCTCTATGGCTCCTAGCGAATGTAGCCTAGGCTCTGCCTGGGTGAGCAAAAGGGGGCGAATCCGAGTCCTGAGTTTGGCTGTTGCAGTTTCCTTAAGGGAATTTCCAGGTTCATTCCCCTCATTCCCTGCTGAGCACCAGCAAGTTGAACATGTGTGGTTTCTGGTTCGTTGCCCTTGGAACAAACCAAACATAAGAAAGCCCTCAAAAACCCACACACACACACACAAGTGGCTGGTGGTTTCCCTTTGCATTCCCTGCAAAACCGGGGAAAATGTTTTCCCAAGAATGACTCAAAGACTTCAACTCGTCACTCTGATCTGAAGAATCGGATCCCAGGGGTGTCAGATGTTCACCGAAGGCGAACAAATCCCGCCACTCGTGGCTCCCTCTCCGCAAGAAGTTTGGTTCTGAAACGAAGGCATTGCTCGATTCAAGGATTCAAGTGAGGTCCAGAGCGAACAGAAACAAACCAGCTTTTATTGCAGGGCGCACGTATGGCCATGGGTAGGCTCGCTTTACCCTTTTTCCAGTGGCTCGCTATGATTTGTGCAGATGTTATTGCTCCATTCGGGGTAAATTAGTACCAAATTAGATAGCTATTACAACTGATTCACTCTGCCACGGCGGGGGGAGATTAAAGGTCATTACATGTGATTGTCTTTGAGTTGCCATTTGTCACGAATAGGTCGGCTTTAGAGCGTACAAACGCATGGCCAGTGAAGGTGCAAGAAGTAAGCAGGCTTTGGCCGGCTTCTACTTAGTGGTAAATGTCCCTATCATCTGTTATTAAACATCTGTTGCTTGAACTAAACACCGGGCATGTCAAGGGTCGCAAAATGTCACGGGGCCGAGCTTCGTCAGCAACTGGGTTCTCAAAGGGGAACCTGCACAACGGCTGCCTTTTGGCTCCCTTTTCAATTCGCCCTTTGGCTGCACCTAAAGGTCTAAAGTCTTGATCGCAATGATCCGATCCATTGGATCCGAAAGGTCTATCTCATGGCCATCCCTAAGTCCCAGCCGGACTCGCAACCCTTGCCCGGGATGAGTCAAACAAACTGTGGAGGTCAGGTCGAAATGGGTGCCTTTTTTGTGGCTTTGAAGTGAAACCGCAAGCAGACCTAATCATTTTTGGGGGTCCCGTAAAGAAGACACCCAAATCATGAATATCCAAACTGGGCCTCGTCAAGCTTGCTAAACGGCTCCATGCGCCAACGGAACCAAGCTCTGCCAGAATTTGGTTGTCCGGCCGGTGCTGTGGGGATCCGACCTTTGGACTGTGTGGACTGTCCCTCCGCAAAACCGTACCAATCGTTTTGCTCGATCAGAAACCGGGGAAAGGGCACTGAAGGTCTGGGCGATCGAACAAAAATGAGAAGCCCTACGTATTTTGGACACTCGTCTTTGCTGCGAGTTGATCCACCTCTTTCCACCTACTTTAAGCGCTTTAAGCGGCTATGTGCTACTTCATCTCATTTTGTTGAAGCATCGTCCTTCACCTTCCGAAGCCTTTGCTTTTCAAGAGGCCTCACAAAGTTTGAATTCAAACTTTTCCCAGGTTGAAACCATCTTTGCCACCACCCGCACTCCTCTCAAGCGCCTGATCTGACTTGCGGGCCGCACTCCGCTGCCAGGGATGATCTTTGTCAAGGACTCCTGGCTGGCGCTTGGTGAGAAACCCTGGCTACAAGGCTTTGCACAGTGAACTTAATGGGCACCCCGGAGTAATAAACCGGTTGATGAATAGGGGGTGCCTCTGTTTGAGTGGAGAGTCATCACTATTGCAGGTGACCACCCCCTAATAATAAACCAGTGTATCTATCCGGGGTCAACATTAGGCTTAACTCGGGTTTGAACCAGGGCTTTGACTGCGGGTCACCAGCCACATAACTCTGCGAACTCCAGGTCCCAGCAGGCCCAGCGAGGTCATGTGCCGGAGTCGGCTGAGCTTCTGGCATTACAACGGACGAGGAAGGTCTTCTGAATGCGCTTCAGCGTCTGGTACTGCGGGGTCTCCTGCACGTCGAGAAGGTGCCGAAAAAGGTGTGCTGGCAAAGCTGTAAACTTGTCAATTCCAACTTGTGGTCCATCTTGGTATCTTTGCAAAACTCGCATAAGATTCAACCCCCAGAAGCCCGATGCTGGTTACCAAAACCCTTGAGGCGAAAAAGCCTATGTCCGCAACTCGAAGCACTGGGATGGGAGGGCCTACCCTTCAGCATCAATCCACGGGACTGGCTATCCCAGGGCCTGGGAAGACTTAATTATGTGGATCCTCCATGGAATCACTTGGCTGTGGGTACATCGGTACCCCAACTGGAACCCTAGTAAGTGGAAACATGGACCAAAACCTGCGGTCTTTTGGTGGTTGAATTCTGACCCATACCCACTTGAGGGTTCCCTTGAGTAGCGAAGCTTGAGGATCTCAATGTGGTCCCAGATTGAGTCCCCTCCGCTGGGCGTGCAGCGCTTGCTTGTGGGACCCTGACTCGGACTAAACATGGGCATGAGAACGCCCGGTGGATTGGAGATCTCTCCTTGTTGGACTGGTTCATGATGCGGCCGGATGCGGCCGGCGGATGCTTCCAGAGGAGCCGACCGCTTTCACTCCGAAAACCCGCGTAAACGGCTCGGCCAGAAAATGGCAGCGAGAAAAGTGCAGAGATTTGTTGGGAGGAGCATCCCTTGATTTTGCGCAAAGGGGGCGCTCAACAGGCAAGCCCCGTGTCAAAACGAGCCAGGCAGAACAGATTTGCCTTGGAGATTGTCAATGAAGCGCCAAGCCAAAGGAAATGCTTGGGCAAAGGTCAGAAACGGTGCCTGATCACAAGGCTTTCCTTAGACTCTTGGGAAAGTCAGACAGATGTGTCATGTCCCGAAAGGAAATACCCTGACACATCGAACTAAGCACTCCGGCCAACTTTGACCGGCACTGCCGCAATGTGGGGCGTCACACGTTGTGGTTGGTTGCCTTTTTTGGTGACACCCTTTTCCACTTGCTAGGGTGGGTTTAGATTTAGTTAGGGTGGGGTTTGGATGGTTTTAGGGTAGGTTCCGGGTAGCTTTAGAGTGGCTTTTGGGTAGGTTTTCGGGTGGTTTAGCCTGCGTTCAGGGTTGGATTAGGGATCGGTTCAAGTCGGTTGAGAGGCCGGTATGGGCTTGCCTTGGGAGTAGGGTGCATTTGCGATGGTTCGTTGAGGGGTTGGTCTTGGTGTGATTACAGTGGCTTGGTTCATTCAGGTGGATTTGGCAAGGGCTTAAGGCGCCTGCCACAAATCCGGCGACCACCAACCTGCGAGTGCCAAACAGGGTCTCTCTGAGCTGTGCAAAGTGTAACGCTCAACCAAAGCACTTCACAAAGGGGGCCATTTGAGTGCAGGATTCCGGCATCAACTGCAGTGTTGCATGTCTGGCCTGCGGTGGCATGTGCCCGCTCCCGCTTCAAGGGCGCCTTTGTTCGACAGCGCGCTGGACGACTCACATCACACCCAGGCATACAGTCGGAAAACGCTGGAAAGCAAACGGCCCAGCCCTGTCATCGTCAGCAGCCATGACCGCCGACAGCCTCAGAGCACAGGGAAGATTGCCGAACGATCGAAAAGGAGAACGAGCAGCAATCCGGTTGTCAAACTTGCAGGCCCCTTCACGCGTCCCCTGGTCATTCTGCCCGAAGGATGGAGCCAAAACATGGACTTTGTAGGTCTCAAGATGCGACTCCCTGCTCTCACGCAACACAAAGATGCCATCTCCCCAACCCATTTTGGGTCCCTAGCGAGCCACAGCCATTTGAGTCACAATCAAAACCCGCTATTAAAATTGTCTACCCAGAACCATGCAAACAACCAAGCAGGCGGCCGCAACTTGGCTGGGACTGCCCCTTACTAATCTTCATCTACCCGGGTTTTGAGTGTGGCACATTTTGGGCCCCTGGCACACCCCATTCGTTGTGGGGAGGCCACTCTCCAGCCTGGTGGTGCTCGATCCTTGGGATCGTAGCGCAGGATCAGGATCGGGATGGGCGCGCCGAGGCTATCGTTGGCCAAGCCTCTCACCGCTGGCTTGGTGGATGTTTTTGGGTGGAACCCCCCATCCCTCGACGCCAAGGGTCCAAATCCCAAACCACCAATCCAAATCACCAACTATAGTGGTTAACGGTTAACTGAACCCCCCAAAACAGTGAGTCAAGACAATGACCCCAGGGAGAAAAGGGCACTGATGCCTTTCAAATTCCACCCCCCCCGTGTTGGAAAAAAAAAAAAACGTCACCGAGGTAAACAGGCAGCTGAGTTGGAGCAAATCCTCCGAGTCGACCTCCAAACGTGGGAGGCCAGCGAGCCACTCGGAAACTCGCCCTCACCTATGCAGTTAGGATAAGAATCTTGCCGGCAGTGGTTGTCAGAAACCGGGTAACCCCAAGTTGGCACCCTGGTAAATGGAAACAATGACTAAAACCTGTGGTCCAATTCCTGCTGGTTTAATTTTGACCCATACCCTGCTGGTGCGATAGGTAGGGAAGGGAATAACCCCGTAAAGGAAACCACCAGTTGGATGGTTTATATCGGTCATTCCCTCATTCCATGAGCACCAGCAAGGAATGCGAATCTGACTCCATTCCCTCTGCTATAGCCAACTCGCTTCTATAAATGCAGCCAAGCATTCATGCGCAAAACATGTCTGAACATTTCGGGATGGTGCTTGATTTTTAAATTGAGGTATCGCCAGCGAGTCACTCAACACACCTACGCAGCTGTAAGAACGAGTGTGTTTCAAACAGGGAAATGTCGGAAGCCCAATGTTCCCAAAAAATCCCAGAGGCTGATTTCAGAACCACTTACCATGAATTGTTCAGGTTCACTTGAATCAACCGAGGATCAGTAACGCCCTAAACAAGACAGGTATAGGTAACAGGTACCTCGCAAAACAACTACCCCTGCATGAGAGGTTCCCATAACACGCCCATACTCGGCCGAGATGGTCCTTGGCAAACGCTGGAAGTACGATCCAGCCAAGCGGCCAAGGCGCGCTCGCAAAGACATCGCACACTTGCGCCGCATGTAACCGGTCATTTCCGTGAAATAACTAAACAACAGTTGAAAATCACAAAGGCCAAGGAGGACTCAGGACTAAACTTTTGGGTGTCTTGTTCAACATCAACCGATTTAAAGCCATTGCAGGTCATGCAACCGCCATCGCCATGAGTGCTTAGGTGTCGATGCTTTTTGCGCCTTGCTGACGCTCCACTCTGCAATTATACAAACATTGTTTCAAACGGTTGCTGGTAATTGGGTCAAATATACCAAACCCCAGCGGCCATGGGAAGCAAAACGGCACTCTTTTTTGAGGCTGTTGAAAGGAACCGGCCCACCCCCTTCCAACAAACCAGTCGGTCTCAGGAGTTGGTTGGCTTGGGCAGTTGCACCAAATTACCCCTGAGGCACAAAAGGCAAATTGCGGTGGAAGGCGGAGACAAATCCAAAGTGAAAAAGCAAGTGCAGAAAAAACTTTCATCTACAGAACACACACACAAAACCCCGCACAGACACACACACACACACACACACACACACACACACACACACACACACACACACACACACACACACACACACACACACACACACACACACACACACACACACACACACACACACACACACACACACACACACACACACACACACACACACACACACACACACACACACACACACACACACACACACACACACACACACACACACACACACACACACACACACACACACACACACACACACACACACACACACACACACACACACACACACACACACTCACACACTCACACACTCACACACTCACACACTCACACACTCACACACTCACACACTCACACACACACACACAAAAAAAAACATCCAAACAGTATCCTATGACCACATGTTTCCGCATTTGTGCGTCAACAGCTTAACCTATGGCAACTGTACCACCATTTGCCACGGATTTTTCTCGGATTATAGCAACAAAGCCAGCTTGACGATTAGATCACGTAGATCACCGCGCCTCGATGCAGGGTGCCGGCGTCCAGCACCAGCGCGTCTCCGGCCCGCCAGGCCGCGCTCGCGCTCGCGGCGGCCACCGCCCCGTGGCTGGCGGTGAGACTTCGGAGGCACCGGCGCCAGCGCTCGCGGAGCCCAAGGCGCCGATCCTGATCCGATCTGAAACCAGGGGTTGAAACTACCAATTTCCGTGGGGGAATTCGGACCGCAAACACCCAAATCCCCAAGGAACTGACCTGACCCGTGAAATTTGGTGGTTGAAATTCCATACGGTTTTGGAAGGATGGATATCCAACAACTTGGTTTCAACAAACAAATTTCGGTTTCAACAAACCTTATGATATTGGTTGAAACCATATTGCTGAAACCACTGAGGTGCACTGTGGATGGTTGAAGTGCTGCACCTTGAGACCATGGGTTGAAACCGAATTTTGTTTGTTGAAACCATTGCTTGAAATCCATCCTTCAAAAAGTATCTGTGCAGGGGTTTGTGCTCCATGTCGCAACGCTTTGAAGCCACGGTTGGAACCAGGTTTGTTGGTATTTACGTTGGGGAATCGAGTCAGAAAGGGTTTTGGAGGTGGTGCCGAAGAGGATTTCGCAACCATCCACAGTATGAAAATTCGGTGCCCTGTTCCCACCCTTTACGCATCACCCCAAAAAGAAACTCAGCTACAGTGGCGTTTAAACTTTCCTGCAAACATCAAATTGCCACTCTCTTTCGGGACTTTTGGGTAGGGCATTCACTGACGTTTGGAGGGCCAGGTTGGTGTGCGAAGCGCAAACCTCCACTTCGACTTCGGCCATTCAAGTTGCCAATTTGTGGCAACCTAAAAAATACTACCCTGCTGCCTCAGCTATTGCTCTCCCAAATCGAACACATCATGCTTTATTATTTCTGGCCCGGTAGGCGAATTCCGCAGGATCGCCCTTTTCATGGACTTCCAAATCTGGGAAACCATAAAATGCGGAAGGTCAAAGGATACCCTGTGTTAGAGCTAAGGGCTTGGCACCCTCCGAAAAAAACAATTTAGCCGGCTGCTGGTTGCTCCACTCTCAACTCTGTTCCAGGGACTCCCGACGCCGTTGCTCCGTTGCTCGCGCACCCGCCGTTTTGGTCCGCGCCGAGCCCCGACGAACCCCGAGGAAAAGCCCGAGCCGAGGCGCATGCAGCGCATGGGTGCCCGGCAGCAGCTCTTGGGGCCCCCGGTCCGGCGCTACAGTGGCCAGGGGGATGAAGATGGAGAGTCCTAGCAGCAAATGGGCCGATAAAGGCATCCCTTTCTGGGTTCACAGGTTTTGGGTTTAGGGTTTTGTTTTTGTTTGATTGTTTTGGGTTTAGGGGGTTGCCGTTTGCGGGTTTAGGGTGTTGCCGTGTGCACAAGCACCTACATGTTCATGGGTTGCCGCTTGCTGCAAGGCGCGAAGTTTGATCCCAGGTCCTTGCTATCACACAAGGGGAAGCACCAAAAGAGTAGCCCTGCCCTTACCCCTTAAAACTCCAAGCCCGGGGGAAGTTAATCTTTTACAGACATATAGCCCATGTTACCCAAAAAGTTGAACAGTTCTGTTTTTAAGAGGTATGTACCTGATCCTTTTTATCAAAGGGTTTGGTTTGGGCAAAGTTCTCCCAGGCAAACCCCCAGAGTTTCCCTCCCACCACTTGTGCATGGCACCTGACATTCGGGGAGTCCTGGTTTGGACCGTTGCCCTTTTAAAGGGACCAAACCTGTCATGAAAGCAAAGGAAGTTGATCCCAGATTGCAGAGCGGCTGTTCAAACGACATTGGTTTTAGTCCCAAGTGGATCCCCGGCAAACCCCAATAGTATCTAAACCTTTGCCATTTTCCTTTTGGTGTTTTTAACGGTGGCAAACCCTTGGTTACCTCTTATCTCAGTGGATCCCTTTTATCACTGGATATGGCGAAGCACCTAAAGAGTAACCCTTCCTGTTACTTTTCTGAAAGGGTTCGGTTTGGTTGCCAAAGGGAAATGATGAATACACTACTGTACCCAGTGCAGACACTGGTCAGAGGCTCTTCAGGAGCTCTGCCGCCGATTTCTTCTGCTAGTGAGACTTGAGATGCTCAATCACAGTGAACCCCATCAAACCCCTATAGTATCTAACCAGCCATCTTTTTTTTGGTGTTTGAAGGGTGGCAAGCCTTGGGGCATACCTGCTATACAGGAAAATGTGAGCGGGTAAAAATATGATTCCTTGAACGAGGAAAGGACTCAGGAGGTTCATCTGTCCATTGGGGATGCTTCAGGCTTTTACAAGCAAAGGATCCGGCATTGAAGATGGACACATGAAAACCGTGAGGCTCGGCTAAATTTCATGTTGGACCCCGAAATCGCGAGCCACGTACGTCGAAACCATAGAGGGGACAGAAATAGGGACCCCCTTTTTGTTGTTGCAAGGAATCCCACAATGCAGATTCGAAAAACCCACCTTTCTTGAGGGCTCCCTAATCTATCGAAACTCCAGGCCGTGCTGTCAGCCAGCCCCCCACTTGCTTGAGCCACCGGGAAAAAAAGGAATATTTCCAGTAGTGATAGATTCCCTTTACAACACCAAAAAGGAGAAAATACAAAGCATAGGCTCAAGCAGATGGAAGCCGCCAAAGGCCATCGATTTCAGGCGTCCGTCGATTTTTTTTCCCGCTCGCGGAGCGCTTGTGCCTTTCCCGGTGGCGGAGTCCATGTGCCAGCGCTGGAGCTCCGCGAAGGGATCCGCGATCACCAGCTGGGCCTCCGAGAGGAAGATGGGACTCTTGGCCAAATCCTGGAGGAGGGCGTCGTGATCTTCTTTTGTTTTGCTTCGTTTTTTGTCTTTTGGTTGCTGGTGCGATAGGGTGGGAATGAGCGAATGACCCTTATAAACCATCCAACTGGTGGGTTCCTTTAAGGAAATTCCTGATGGGTGAGGGTCGATGGGTAGTGGGGACCCCTCACTAACCAGCGATATGGAGTCCTCAAGTAAGACTCCTTGATGAAAATCCCAACTGGATTCCCCGCTAAAAGTGACGAACTTTTAGTGGGTTAAATGGAAACCACCACTAAAGACTAAAGGGCTAAAAAGTTAAGGGGATGGCTAGGAGATGCTAGGAGCAACCAAGTGTCTTTCCCTTTTCCCTGAATGAGGGAACGACCCTTAATTATAAACCATCCAACTGGTGGTTTCCTTTAAAATAATTCTTCCTTTGCTCACCCAGAGGGTCCCTTGATACCTCATGAGGATGGCTTTGGGGGGGTAAAAAGCGATCTAAGTGCCTCCTTAGAAGGTACTTGGACCCTCTGCGGGGCGTCGTTCTGTTCTTCTTTTGTTGGTGGGGTAACTTCCATTTCCATTCTTTCCAGGGATCCTTTCTCGAAAACCACCGAAAACCCTGGGGAAATGCCTGGTTTTTCAAAAGAACGATGGCTGAAAAGAATGGGAAATCAACCACTAGAAAATGGAATGAGCCTTATAAACCATCCAACTGGTGGTTTCCTTTAAGGGAATCTCTGGGTTCATTCCCTCATTCCCTTCTGAGAACCAGCAAGTTTCTCACAGTCATTCCATTTCCCTGTCAACCAAGGGCTTGCGCTTTGAAATCAAAAAGGAAAACGGCGATGCCTGAGATCCACGTTTTTTTTGTTTCTGCTTTTTCCGGATGCAGATGTTTGGGGTAGCTTCAGGAAACATCCCTGGAATCCAGACTCACATCCGGGTTGCACTGTCCGAGCATCCGACGTATGTGCTCATTGGTTTTAGATTGGGTTTGTCCATTGAAAGGAAAGGGTCCAAAAACATGAGGCAAGTGTCAGACAAAAAATGCGGAGGGGGGGGTCCCAAGGCTGGTGCTCAGCAAGGAATCACGAGCTTTGGGAATGAGCCCGGGGAATTGTGCCTGTAAATTGCCCTCTGAGAAAAACATCAGCAATTGCTAACATCCGCATTTGTGTTCCAGGCTATAGATGGTTTTAAAGGGAACCCCCTGCTATATGAATAACGGTAAATATCCTTAATCCGTGGCATGACAGGAATGCAAGGGGCACTTGGCCTTCATTTGTTGTGCTTTCATGGTTCTTGAGAGCGCCATGCTGCCTTGTGCCAGAAAACCTGACCTGCTCCAAGGAGGAGACAAAGCCCTAGAGGTTCGACGGCCGGTTCGATTTCGGTACATGAACCTGGGCAAATGCTAATTCACAAAGCAGCAATAGGCCACAAGTAAGACTCCTTGATGAAAACACCAACTGGACTGCCTTCAGATCCCCCAATAAAAGCTTAACTTTTAGCGGGCTAAATTTCACTTTTAGTGGGCTACATGAACTCCCCAAAGGTTTAGGATGCTGGGAACGATCCTTCATGGGCTTTCGTTCCTTCCCCGCCCCCCTCCCTTCCCCCCCCCCTTCTCTGCTTCCCCCCCCGCTGCTTCCCCCCCCCACCCCCCCCCCTCCCTCCCTCCCTCCCTCCCTCCCTCCCTCCCTCCCTCCCTTGGGGTCAAGCCCACGCCTGGATCTCGAAGTGCTTGTGCACCAGCGGTGCCACGGAGGCATGGGGCGAGACCGCCGCCGGCTCGTACTCCGGGGATCCTGGCAGGGGATCCACGCCTCCCCGCTCACAGGGCTGAGGGCATCGAAGGGGCGCACAACTAATTCCTCCACTAAAGAGGCTAGAATAAGTTGGTACCAACTTTTTGCTGTAGTCTATTTTCGTAGGAGACCCCTCCCCTCAAAAAGGGAAAACGGGCCCTACTGAAAAACCTACTCAAAAAGGGAACTCCTTCCATGAGGTCCAAAAAAGCCCTTCCAACCTGGAGGGCCCCTTCTGATGCGTAGGGAGGATAAATCCTTCGAACCATTCTTCCATGATAAGTCCATCTTTGGGGAGCACCCCCCCCACTATAAATCTGGGTGAATTCTTTTCTTTCGCTAGCTGCGGACGGTGCGCGTCGCTATCAACATGCACGGCTGGTGTTCAGCCCGCGAAATCGGGCTGGATGGCATCCAGTCTGTGCTGGATGCCACGATGCCAGAGTTCCCACTCCGTGGGAAGCTGGCTTGCCACTTCGGCCCCCAAGCTCAACATACTACGGGCATGTTGCGCAAAACCCCTAGCGACCACCTGGCAAAGCCCCGGGGGGTACTCCTTGGCCGCCGGCGTGCGGAAAGCCCCCCTTGCATCTCTTCCCACCAATGCCATGTGAGCTCCCCTCGCATGATTGCATCGGCCATGGTCGCCTGCAGCTCTGATGCTGTCCCTTACCCCCGGGAGCCGCACCAGAAGCAGCGTGGTTGGCTTCCGACTGGGGGCCCCCAATGTGCATTGGTCGAAGGAGATGACCACAATGCAGCCTCTTCAGCAGCCTGATGGGCTCCAACCTCCATATGCTGGGCAAGGGTCTACCTAACCAGCAAGCGTACTGTGGATGCTCCAAAAAGAAGCATCCTCCAGCTGCCGCAAACCACCACGCAGCATCGATGGCAAAGGCAAGCAAGCGATTAGCCACATACACCTGCTTAGCCTGCTTGGCCTTGAGCCCTTCCAGCCCGTACAGAGCCTCCGCTGACCTCAGGGGAGGGGGGCCGCCCTTCCTGAACCTCGCAGCCGACCAAGATTCGCAGGGAGGGCCGCAGCCTCCACCCAGGATCTGTCCGCTCAAGATCCAGTTCTTCCACTTGTCTGCATTGTCCGTGTTGAGCAGATCACCCATCTCAGCATCAATGCAAATGTCCACCGTGAGCGCGAAGAGCACTCCCCCATCGATCCACTGCTCTCCTTCTATCCAATGAGGGATGTCTCCATCACGCCTCTGCCCTCCGAAGAAGTTGACAAAGACCAGTACCCTGAGGCTGACCGCCATGGCTCCCACTGACAGCCCTTCCATGGCAAACTGGCCCGCTTGCCCTACGTGTTCCCCTTGATGCGATTGCATGACCGCCGCAACAGGTCGCTCTTCCTGCTCCGCCTCTCCTCTCCCTTCCGGAGCAGGCCCCTCAGTCGCTTCCTCTCTCCTACCCTGCATTTTTTCAAAGGGCATGTTCTCCCAGTCATAACCTTGCCTCCTGTAACGCCTCTCCCAGGCCTCCCTCATTGTCTGTGCTTCTTGGGACGCAACGGGGGGTAAGCGCACAAAGGGGGTTTTGGCCGGGGGCGCGAGGGCCTTGTGGGGTGCCCATCCCTCCGACCGAAACTGCTGGGCCTGCTCCAATGTTTGCTGATCGAGCTGATCCGAAACCCCCGCCGGCATGGGCGGGAAACACGCTTGTGTGTGCTCTCTACATGCGGGTTTGCTGTGGAAGTGCCTCACCAGTCTAATGCGTTGATGGAAACACTTGCCGCACGCAAGACATGTATCCCCCGCTGCCCAACTGCGGTTGGGCCTCTTATATCCATGCATCTTTGTGGCATGCATGGCTAAGGCCTGTCTGCTTTTCCACGAGGTTCCACATTCATCGCACCAGAAGGTGTCCCTCTGCTGCGGAATCTCTGCCTGTGGGAGGCGCGGTTGGGGCACAGTGACCCCTTGGTGAGCGGCTCTGTCAACAAAGCTACGCTCCCAATCCCGCATGCCCACTTGATTCGCCTGCGATCTCGCACAAGCCTTTTCAGCGATCTTCAACGTTTTTCCCCAATCCTGGGCATGCATGATGTGCTTGAGCCAAGCCCGAACATTTTCTCCGGGGCAACTTTCTCCGAGGGGCATGCGCAACCAACCACTCACAATCCTCCTTCACATGCGCAATCCAAGCACGGTCATCTCCCTCTGCCCCCAAAAGCATCGCCCACAAAATGGGCGGTGCTATGTGCAGAGCCCTTTTCACATACCTGAGCCTAGCCAAGGACAACCTCTGCCGAGGTGTCAAGGTGCCCAGCCGACCTGCCGCATCCCTTGCCCCCACCTCAAAGCAAGGCTTGCCACCCTGCGCCTTACCCACCATCTCTGTGCTACCCATGACCATACATGCACATTGTATGCGTGTCTGGTGACAACAGTGGCTTCAAAGACTTGCTTTTTGACTCTCATGTCAGCATGCTGATGCTTGTAGAGAGTCTTGCGCAGGGGACCATACGCACTGGCAGCCGCGGCCGCTCTGGCCCTCTTTTCACGCTCCGGCTTGGCCGACTCCTGGATCCAAGTTCCTAAGTGCTTGTAAGCATGTGTGACCGCTATTTCCTGGGGTCCGGCTTGGGTGGCCAGTTCGAGCTTGCCCTGCTGCTGGTTGTGAATCTGACCCCTCAAGATTTTACTCTTCCTCCCTCTCATTTGCAGGAGCATTTCCGTCTTGCCTTGATCGTAGTTGACCTGCAAGCCCCTCTGAGCCATCGTGTCATCAACCAGAGCCCCCAACACCTTCATGTGCGACACCAACGAATCACTACTATCCGCAGCCACCATTACAGCAAGATCGTCAAAAAAGACCACATCCAAGCAACCATTTACCACATGCCGGGGACCTTCATCGCTGAGGAGTTCATCTATGCGGGCCTGCGCCATACAAGGCACGCCCGCTTGCTTGATTCGCCTGTGCAAGTCTTTCAATGGCCATGTTGAAAAGCACATCCCCTACTGGGTCCCCAGGCCTGGTGCCCCGGTGCGTCTGGACAACAGTATCTGTGCCAGTCATGCCAAAGTGACTTCCCGTCAACATGTCCGCCAAGACCTGTTCGTCATGACTGCCTCCCAAGCCAGCCGCATTGTCCTGCCTGGCTCTCTCCCTCAACCTATCCACCTCCTCCGACGCAACTCCAAGCTGGGCAAGCACCCTACAGAGACCTGCGTCGTCCAATGGGTGCTGCACCAACGCTTGCCGGATCACTGTGTAAAAGGCAGCTCTCAGATCCGTAAAAAGGACCCCCACTGACTTCTGCTGCCTATGCCCATGTGCAACCAGCGCCTGAACCATATGGTGGGCCATATCAACTCCATGCCTGCGTCTCCCACCCATCTGTGTGTCACATGCCTGGGACTCCCATTGGCCTGCCAACCGGTCCCTCAAGAGCGAGTGATGCATCTTAGCAAGATGATCCGAAACCAAAATAGCCCTGTATGACTGGGCCTGGCTGGCTGGCCCTTTGCCCTTGAACAACGGAACAAGCAACCCTCCCTTCCACGCTAGCGGCTCCCTCTGGATCAAGAGGGCCTTTGTGAAGAGCGGGAGCAACTTCCAAGCCAACTCAGTTCCACCAGCTTTCAAGACTGCAACGTTCAATCCATCGGGACCTGGAGCTTTTCCATTTTTAAGCTTCTTGAGCTTGCCCATGATTTGTCCAATTCCCGGGAGCGAGTCAACGTCTTTGGCAACCAACGGCAACTCAGGCACACGCTCAACCACTTCCACAAGTTGTTGCTGCGTCATTACCTCCCCAGCTTCCTGCATGGCAAAATGTCTCATGAAGGTGTCTTGCATCTGCTGGTGTGTTTCACACACCTCTCCATCAAGGGTTTGCATCTTGGGGAATGCTCGCGCTCCTCCTTTCTTTCCAGAGCCAGGCGCCAAGACCCTTCGCACAAGGCCATAAACCGTTTTGGCGTCTCCGAGCTGCCCCGCCGCTTGCAAATTATGAAGCGCCTTGACCAAGTAAGCATTTCTGTCCCTCCGGAGCAGGTGCCTCAGGTTGGCATGTACAACCTTGATTTCCGCTCTCATCTGCTCATGCCACAGCTTACCATGGTCATCATGGCTGGTGCTTCTCATCAAAGCCCAAATTTGTTTCTTCCATGCCACCAAGGCCCAAGCTTCCTGCGACATCCAATATGCCTTCTTTCCACCCGTGCTTTTTCCAAAGACCTCCTGGCTCTTCAGCTTAATGGTGTCAACAAGCTGCTTGGCGTGCGTGTCTACATCCACGCCCCAATCAACGTGTTGCACCTCTTTCAGCTTTTCAACAAAGGCTCTCTGCAGCTCCGGGTCAACTAGCTTGCACGGGTCCAGCTTGGGTTCCTTTCGTTTAACCATGCTAATACATCCTTCGATTTCCAAGCACACTGGCAGGTGATCTTCGTGAATGCAGCCAGTGTCAAAATCCTCAACAACCCAAGATTTCTGAACCAGGTTCTCCGCGCTGTCGGGGGACGTCTGGATTCCCTTCCCTCTGAGGATCATATAGACGGACATCACGTCTGACCGAAGGACATTGGCCTCCCTCGAGAAGCCCGGTCGCGCAGACCTGTGGTCACGAAATTCTGGGGACCCGCTGACCCTCGAAATGAAGCACTGAGATGCGTTGTCGTCCCCGAGCACAATGCGGGCGATGGTCGCCTTCTCGCGTCCTGCGTTGGGGCTCGGGACCGGCATTTCCGCTGTTGCGATGTAGATGAATCTTGTCGTCTTCGGCTTGGCATCGGCCTCGACCTCAGCATCAGCTCCGGCCTGAGCAGACACCACGATGCCGACCTCAACCACCTTCAGGGCTAAGGTGGGGTCCTGCTGTAGCAGCCTGCTCAAGTATGCGCACACCGATATGGGCGACGCAACGAGCGCGGCACCCGTCTGGATCCTCATCAAGCCGGCCAGCGCTTCGATGTGTGCACGCGTGGCCATGCACGCACCCATGAGCGTCCAGGGCGGGTTTGCCAGTACCGGGTCCTCAATCGTCGACGGATCAAGAGTCTCAATGTCGACTGGCCCGTACACCTTCTTGACATGCGACCAAATGTTCACTGTCGCAGACTGGCGCCCCACCGGAAGCTCGGCGATGTTCTCCTTGCGTGCATGGGCCGCTTTCACGATCCTGATTGTGGCTCGCACCGCTTCCGCAAGGATCGGGCAAAGCGCACACACCCTGTCCCTGCTCAAGTAATCTGTGCTTTCGCACGTCACCGCTGCCCCAATGATGTGGTCGAAGACATTCGCCCAGTGCCCCGGGTTGAACTCAGGGGAGGCAACCGCGTCTTCAATGAAGCGTCCAAGCCTACTGAGGGCCCCGTTGTCGCCTTCAGAGAACTGTGCTCGCCCACTGCGGAACGCAACCACATGCGAGTCGATCCTTGCGATCACATCTGTGCTTACGCAGCAGGTTGCCAGTGATAGCTTGTCCATCTCCTCAGAGCCGCAGCAACAGGCATCCACCAGCTCCGCGAATCTGTCAAAAGTGGCCAGGTTCAAGTGCTCTGGAGGCGTCTTCGCTGCACCCTCGACGATGAGTGCACGCATGTGTTCCTTCCTGATCTGCCAGTCGTCGTTTTTGATGTGGCGGTACGTGGGCGCGTCATCCTTGCATTCCTCGAGACCGACCATTCGCGCCACAGCGATCACATTCTCTATGGCCATGGCCCCTGGCACGGTGTGCACTGCAAGGAGCCCCTGAACAGCAGCAACCAGACCGCCCTGCTCTCGTGCAGACTCAGCGCTGGCTTTGTTCTTGGTCTCGGCCTCTTTCTCCTTGGCGATCCTGGCATCAATGATCCTTTTGCGCCGATCTAGATTGTCGGCCTGCACCTTATCCATGAAGGTGTTGATGGTGCTGGCAACGGCATCCACCACAGAGCTGGCCAATTCGCCCTCTCCGTCATCGCTGTGGATCACCGAGACAATGCCCTGCATGGTCTGGATGTACTTCCCCAGCTCGCGCTTGGTGCCATCATGGTTGTAGCGGCTGGCCACCATCTCATTATAGAGGTCGACTGCATCATGAGCTGTTTCCGAAGCACCGCCACAGAGACGATGAGCGCACCTGGCCATATCGTCTGTCTCCTCATCTTCACAGATATGCACGATGCGGGCGCAGACGGTGAAGGTGGTGGCCGCCGCTGCAGCTTTAAGGTCCACAGTGGACCTCCGGGTTGCATTGTTGATTGCACCGGTGCAGGCCACTGTCACGGCCGCCACAGTTGCCTCTGCCTGCTTGTCGGGACTGAGCAGGTCGGCTCCCTTCAAGAACGCCCTCACTCCTGACTTTGCTGCGTCCGCCAGGCTGTCCTTGCCGCGAATTGCGTCGAGCGCGTCGGCCATGGCCTGAGCATACGTCAGTGCCTGAGCTGCGTCGGTCTCATTGCCCTCGCCTATGGTGGGTGGGCCGAATAGGCTGGCGAAAATGGCGAACCCAGCTGCCCTCAGATCACAGCTAAACTCGCCAAAATTGGCAGTGGAGGGTTCTGAGGCCGGGGGCGACTTCTGTGGTTTAGCCTTGGGTGACCCAGGCGCCTGGGTGCGCGTGTCGTCATCCACATCCGGCATATGGAGCCCAGGCGGCGGCCGGGCGCTGGCTTTGACGATCACCGCAGGCGCTTTCGATTTTGGTGCCGTCTTTGGATTTGCCTTCGCGGATGGTGCTTTTTTTGCCGCATCCTCGGCGTCACGCTTGGCCTGGGCATCAAGGCTGTGTGCGCCTGGGGGCATCCTGTCGGCCGGTACATCAAAAAGCTCTTTTTTTGTTTTTGACGAACTTGAGCCAAAATGGCTACGGTGGATGGCTATTCCCCACATAAACCACCATTTGGGGTGAGGTCGTGTGAGGTCGTCATAATTCAGCTAAATCCCCCATCCTCGGAGCAGCAAGTGCAGCCGCCCGAAGGTATAGCGGCCCATGGCAATGTTGGGATCATGCTGCTGCCTCGGGATCAATGCGCGGTCTCTTTTCATGGTACCCTTTTTGGGTCGGTTTCAAGGACAACCAAAGGAAAAGCAACTTGGGGGGTCCCCTCTGTTGAGACGCGCAGGAGAAATCCACCCCTTGTGATGCCAAAGCGCTACTTGTGCCACTCATCAGAGAGAAAAAAGGCAAGCTCCCAATATCCTCAACCCATGGCTTCGCTTGTCACGGGTCATGTTCCCCCAGCCGACTTCTGTGGTTCACGACTCGCGATGCGCCGAGTGGCTGCCAAACGCCAGCCTCCGCTGCTCGCTTGGGCACCTCCCAGCGCCCGGTCTTGGGGTTCACCACCCCCCCCAGGCCCAGCGCGGTCCGCAGCTGAGCCACGTCCTGCGAAGAAAAAAAAGGCGGCGAGGCGCGGTTGGTCGTTTTTACTTTGGCTTCTCGTGGGTGGATCCTTACATATATGGTCAGGTCTCATGCTTGAATTGGATCCCTCTAAAAGCGTCTCATGTTTTTTGACTGCCGCTGGGGATCAACAAAGCTGCAAGCTGGCGTGCGTTGACCCAGCACCGTGCTGGCACCTCGGCAGTGAGCAAGCTGCGCAGCAGCACGCAGCCCCACTTCTCCAAGGCCTCCGGTGCTTCAAATGGTCCATCCCCCTTTGACCTTTCGGACACGAAACAAATCCCTGGGCTACCACCAAAACAACAAACGTTTGCAGGGGGCCCGGACTTCAAAGGTGTACCTGTTTACACGACCAAAAAACCAAGACCTATGATCCCGCAAACACTGCCTTTTGGACAGTGCTCGAAGTTTTGGAAAGAAAACACGTGTGTGGGGGGGGTGCTGGACAAGGTCGAAAGCTCGATGATCTTTATGCAAAGTCCAAAGTTGAACCGCTACTTTTTGGCCGGCTTCGCCAACAAAACTCACCAAAGGGTCAGGCCACAAGTCCCACCCAATTCGTTGTAAAGTTGGAAAACCCTTCAAGTGGCCATGAGCCTCTGCCAGGGATCCTTTCATTATACGCCTGAACATTGCCTTGTAAATGGTGGTCTCCCTGTATTTTGATGGAAAAAGCCATGTTTCAAATGAGCAAAATGTATCTTTTGAGGAGCCCTGTCCACCTAAGACGAGAGGTTGACAGACCCGATGAAGACCGCTTCGAAGCCTGGGCACCCAGCCGTATTTCTTCATAATTTTGGGTATCCGGTATGCGGTATGCATGGTCATTTCAGGTACGAAGAGAAGCCGCCATTCTGAGAAGGGGCCATCATTTTAAGACTGAGTCGTAAGTTTGTTGGCCACACCGCGTAGGTCCTCCAGTGAAGAGGTTGGAATAAGGGTACCCTTTTTTCTGTAGTCTATTTTGGTAGGGGAACCCTCCCCAAAAAAAGTTGGTAAAAGAGCACTACTGGGGGACCTAGCCTCATTTGGCTTTGGACCAGCCCAAGTTTCAGCGCGCTCCAAAGACCATGGCAGGGTAGACATGTGGTGCCTGGCAAAGGGATTCGCCGATAATCGAGCAGAACGACCCTCGGATTTGGCGAGAAACCCCACAAAAGGGCGGAGGAACCTAGGAACGTCCTGCCTGGATCGCCAGTTGCAGCTTTTTGTCCATCCACTTTACCCCAAAAACCAGCAACAATGACTGCAAAACGGTCAAGGTCCTATTTGCCGTTCACAAGAACCAGGGCTTGAAATCCCCAAACCACCAATCCACCAACGAACAGCTACCAAATAGCATATGGGCATGAATTCTAATGAGGGACCCTTTGGTGGACATCATTCAGGTGGGGATTCGTGTCCACCGTGGTTGCTTCTTTAAATTCATGGCCATATGGAGAAAGGATCGTTCAACCAAATTCTCATTTTTTCCCGGGAGGGCGGAGGGCTACTAGAAAAATCAATTCTGGGAAGTCAAGGGTTAAGGGCTAAGGGTTTAGGCTTTAGGGTTAGCCCTTAAGGAGGGGGGGCGAACCTCGTAACCCGCCTCCTCGCTCCGCTCCAGCATGTCCTGGCTCCACGCCACTTTGGAGGTGGAGGGCGGCCCGTCGCCTGGCGAGCGCAACCGATATCAACCGACTCGCCCCGAATTGCGGTGGTCGCAATTTGTGCTCGGAAAAGGACGGCTGGATCGCCAGTTGCCGCTTTTTCCATCCACTTTACAGCCTCAGTGACTGAAAAAAGCGGCAACTTGTCTATCTAGGAGGACCCGGGCAAATTCATCCTCTACTTGTAGCTTCGGAAAGGGCACTGGGCATGGTGAAAATAGGCCATCCCAACCAGTTATACCAACATGGTTGCAACCTTTTGGTTTCGTCCGTTTCAGGTTCCGAGCAGCCCCCCATCAGGGGAAATTATGTGCCTCCCAAGGGTGCAAAGGGCCATTTTCCGACAGAGCCTGTGCACCTCCAGGTTTGGCGAGTGTACGTGCCCGAAATCTGGAAAATATGAGATGTCCCATTGATACTCCAGTGCTTGGCACCGATCCAGGTTTCAAGGGAGAATCGAAGACAATGCCACCAGCAACTGGGCGGACAGTGAACCACTCAAACGGTGCAAGCGAACCTCCACAGGCTATTTTTTGGTCAACCCCCTTTGCTGGAACATCAAGGCGCGAGGGCTCCAGAACCATCAAAATGGGCAGTTTCTGGTTTGTGAACGTGGGCTCTCAGTTTCGATCATTCTCCGCCATGAAGGCCCTTCCGATAGGACCCATTGCTAGCCGAAGGCCTCTTAATGGCAAACTTGCAACATCCAGCGTGCCTCTAAAAGTGTTTGGCATTTTCAGCCAAAGGGCAAGAAGAAACCACAGCACCCCCTCCCCTACCCTCCTGGTTTGGACCAGTTTCCTCCCAAGAAGACTGAACGCTGAGTTGATCCATTCCGCTGAACCGGCAACTTGTGAAGATCCAAACGCAAAACATGGAGTGAATGGGTGAATTCCTGCCTGTTCTTCAGCCTCTGCCAGGCTCCTGTTGATTTTCTTGGCAAACCTGCCTCACTAAGCTTAACATCATGGTTTCCCTTCAACAAGCTTATGCAACAAGCACTGGGATTCAGCTTTTTGCAGCCTGCCAGCGTTCCGTTTGGCGAACCAAGAGGCCTGACTTGCCGAACAACGGCAGGTACGGCGGCACCAGCACCCCGATGTCCGCGCCCTGGGCGTCGCTCGTGAGGCGCCGGCCTGCGAGGGGACGGCCTCTCACAGGTGGTCTCCGATCGAGATGGGCTTTCTGCTCCCCGGCTAAAAACATAACTGTTAGTGGTGTTTCTTTTCCATTAGTTGGCAAAAAGTTAAAGTCCTAACATCCAAGCAACTGCACCAAAGCACTCCTGGCAAAAAACGCAGGGTCACGGACTGCGGAGTAACGGGCGGGCCCTTTGACGAACTTGGCTCGGGGGCGGGGACAAACGAACTGCAAATCCAAGGGTTGGTCCGAAGGACCAAGGGCTTTCTGGAAAGCTCAAACATGCAAAGGAAACTGCACGAAGCCCAAGGGGGTTCAGCGAAGTTAGGGTTCTGCGAAGGCGGGTTTCACGAAGCTCTGCGGACTGACATCTTTTACTCTTCTAAGCGTTACCCTCATGCGTTTCTTCCCTGAAAAGTGGTCCAACCAGGAAGTGAGATAGGTTTATTCCCGTAGTCTCAGACTATCTGCTTGAATGTCATTTTGTAAGCCCCCTATTCATTTGCGGCTTAAGCCGGTTTTCCAGGGCGCGCGCCGCATTTTGGTGGCACACGCCCCCGCTCTCGGAACCCCGAGCTCGGTGCCCGGCCGAAGAGCTTGCTACGATCCTGCGACAGCTGCTGAGGCTCGAAGTAGCCCCGGTCCTGCGAAAGCTGTACCCGGCAACATGATTAGAGTTAGGCCCAGTTATAGAATGTATATTTTATTGTTTGCTTCAATTAGATCCTAAGTCTACCCCAGGCAAGTCCTCACTTTCTGAGCGGATGCGGGCGTGTCTTTTTTTGAGGGCACCCCGTTTGGTCGTCTTTTAAAGGGAAACCAAATGGAAAACCACGATTTGTTTGGGGTGCCCTATTTGAAGACAATCCCGTTTGTACAAAAGAAGCAAGTGATAGTTCCTTTTTTCTTTGGGGGGGGGCGTCCACGGCCAATGAGCAGGAGTCTTGGCCAGAAAAGTCGCTGGACTTGTTATTTACCAAATGATTTGCCCAAAAAGTGAAGTTCCGCAGCTTTTGTAGGTCAGGGCAAACCTGGTTACAAAAATCAACTGGACCAGTTACCATCACCAATTGATTTTACTTTTTAAATGGGGGGCGCCCCCCAAAAAAAAGAAAAGAAAGAAGTGTGTTCCCTTCAGTTTTCCCTTACAATAAGCCCACGTACCTTCACAACAGACACCCAATTGTGTAGCAACCCGATTAGAAACCGTCCACCCAACCCCGGACACCCGCAAGTGGAGAAAGGACATCGAGAGATAGACCATGTCGTATGCACCCGTCCCTAACTTGATAAAACAAAAATTAGGGTCTTTCAGGGAAGCAGAACTGGGTGGAAGGTGGATCCTACAGGTACCTGGTGCAGCTGGCAAATTGGCAAAAGCATGGAACATATCCCCCTGTGATGTTTGCTTCGTGACCCAACTATATACCCCTCCCAACCTCAAAAACAAACGATTCTGTGGCACATGTCTGAAGCTCAATGCTCAAGGACCCGGCCCTCTCCAGACAAAAAAAGGCACTTCCATTTAAGCTGGAAAAAAAGAAGAACCAAAAAGTGGCCCCAAAAACCCGTCTTTCCACTTGGCTTGCTTTTACGGTATGCGTGTTGAGTCGCTGTGAGGTAGTGGACTTGCCCGGAAAACTTCTGATCCGGTGTGCAAACTGACTGCATGAGTTCGTCGAACGGATCCAAAACGAGGGCCTAGGTTTTACGACCAACTGCTTCCTTCTCACTCACTTGGACACGGTACAAACTTGTAGTCAAACTTGTCCGTCAATCCGAAACAGCCTGGATTAACGGTTTTATTGCGTCCAGTCACCACAGAACTGCAGGACACGGTGCACTTCTATCGCCCGCCGCGCTCATAGGAGCTAGAGCTGGCTTTGGGAATCCGAAGTGGAGCTTAGTCTTACGTACGTGTGCCTCAACAGGATGGTGCTACGTGTTTCTCGTCCTTAGGATTCACATTGGCGTTTAGGGTGTGTCTGTGTGTCTCTGTGTCTGTGCCCAGTCCGAAAGTACATACGCAAGTAAGGAAATGCCCCTAAAGCTAAGCCATCCCAGCCGCTCATTTGAGGGAATGCCCCGAACATCAGCTTCCCTCTTCGTGTGGATTGGTGGTTTGGAGGTTTGGGGTGGCTTTCCATTTCAATCTAAACCAACTTCAGGGATGCCTATGATCAGCTTCCCTCTAGTTGGTGGTGTGGATTCGTGGTTTGGTTAATGAGGGGTTTCCAATGAACCCTCTGCAAGAGCTTCCAACCCGAATCCAAACCACCAACTAACTTGGTGGTTTTTGAAAAGAACCGATGGTTGGAAAGAATGGACAAGGAATCAACCCCTGGAAATGGAATGACCCTTAAGAACCATCCAACTGGTGGTTTCCTTTAGGGGAATCCCAGGAATCCCTTTAAAGGAATCCAACCCTAGAATCCATCAGACCAACGGACACCCGAGCCAATTAGAGCTAAGGGTGACCTGATAGACGCCCTCGAGCTCCTTCCACTGGGCTGCCAGCTCATCTTCGCGAGCTCTGCGCTGGTCCTTCGGCAGGCCCAAAGCCTGGCGGAACCGACGCCGGGGCCCATTTGCTGAAGCCGCCTGGGAAAAAGATCCAGGACCTGGAGTCTCCATGACCCTTTAAAAATGGGGTCATTCCACGAAAATTAAGGGGTCATGACTCCATTTTTCAAGGGTCATGGAGACTCCAGGTACATCTATCCCTTTAACACCAACAAAAAACCATCAAACTAAAACATATTCATTTGAGCAAATGGAAGTACAGGGGGCCCTAGAAACCACTATAAGGGACCTCCTATTCCCCACGCTTCTCAGGCCTGCCTAAGAGGATACTTGCGAAAACCAGGTTACCCTCTGCATGGCTTAAGATCGAAAGTCGTCTTGAGAACCCCTCAAACATTTTCAGTTGAAGGGACCCATCGGTATCCAGCTTAGGGAGATCAAAAGGCTCTTACCTGGGGAGCTGAATATTCACCTGCTTGCAGACCCTCATGCTCACAGAATGTTGTAGCTAAGTTGTAGGTACCATTTGCTTGTCCTACAACCAACATTTTGTATTTCGACCAAGGACGTCCACAAAGGATATAGATCGATGGATCTCATTTGCTCAGTGCCTCCAAATGGTGTGTTTTCTGCGGCCAGCGAAATTGACCTCCAGGTGTTTCATGCCAGCCGTGCTTTAGACTTCAGGCACCATGCATCTCTCTCAAACACGCCCAAGGCAGTGCAGTCACATTAAGCAACTGGTAGAACAAAGCAAAAGAAGATGGGTCGACCAACCGCTGACTCGAGCTTTTGTGCTTTCCATGGCGGTGAAAACCTGAATTCAGGTGCAACCTGCGCTGGGAGGTAGCCAACATGCTTAGCCCATTTGCCATTCAAGCCTTGCCACCATGCCTGGGGCAAACTAATCAGAAAGGCCCCAGGCAAACATCTTGGATTCATGGATCCCCTTGCGGATCGCGCACCAGTTTGAAGGACTAAGTTGTACTAAGTGAACTCCATGCGGCAAGTTTCGGAGTGGGTTGGATTCCTTCCTCCGGCTTCTTGTTGGAAGCAGCTTCCCTGTTGGTTGACTCCCAAAGGCCCCTACCTTCAATGTTCTGGACCAAAGGAGCGTGAAAAAGGCTCCCAACCACATGTTCCATGGATACATGGCAACCCAAAGAAGACCAGCAACCAAAGTGTATCATTCAAAAATCGGGGCCAAAATCATTCAACTGCCTCTACCCCACACAGAGACACCACCTTTGACCACCCTTCACAGCTTTTTCGTCGCTCACCCTTCACAGCTTCAGCCAGTCACCGAGGGCCACACATGAAGCTCTTCGAGCTGAAGCTCCAAGGGCCGCAGCCTGAAGCTGTTGCTTTGCAGAAAGCGCCCGACTGCAGCTTCCCGGGTCTACCCTCAAGTTGTGTATTAAGCTTCAGCATAATGCCAACTGACATAATATATACGATGCATGCGTCAAGAACTTGAATATAAAAACACTAACAACAGTCACAGCAATTATTAGTTTCAATAATTAATAGCAACCCATCTTGGGCCGATCCCTATCATTGAGCCACAAGGGAACCACAGGGAAAACAGAGGGAAGCTGCACCAAACTCTTGATAGCCGGAAAAACGCATGGCTTGCCAGTGCTTCCTCTAGGAATGCAGTCCAAACGGTTTAGCAACCAGTTTCGCTCCAGCCCTACTCTGGCTTCCCATGCTTTGGGGAGTTGTGGAACATTTCGGGTTTATCTGCTGCTTCCCCCTACACTTTTCTGGGTGTGGGTGCAAGATGTGTTCAAAAAGCCAACCCCAGTTAGGTTCAATCCATGTTGAAACGCCCTTTAAGGTGATTGAGTTTCACCAATATGGGCTCTTTAAAAAAAAAGGACACCCTTAAGGGCATACTGGATGTGATCGCTACACTAGAATGGTTTAGGCGAACATGTGCGAACCCAAAAAGGCGCTTTGCGAACGTTTGCGAACCCAACCAAGGTGTGCGAAGGTGTGCGAAGGCACACCTACAACTTACAAGAAAAGGCCAGCCCAAGCTTGCGAACCCAGCCGGCGTTCTGCGAACTCATGGAGGTTAGGCGAAGCTGTTCGAACGTATTTCTACCTCTTGGCCTAGACATCGCGTGTCTGGTGAGACCCTTTCTTTACTAGGTCCTCCAGATTTGAGAGGTTAGAATAAGGGAACCAACTTTTGTCTGTAGTCTATTTGGGTGTGTGTTTTTTTGACGTGGCCGTGCCGGGAGGTTGGTATAAGGGGTATGAATCGCAGGTATGGTTCGGAGTATGGCTCGGGGGTATGATTCGGGGTATGGCTCGCGCGCCTCTGAACTCTTGCTTTGTGGCTTTGGACACTGCAAAGCTCCCGTGCGCTGGCAACTGGATAGCCGTGAGAATTTGGACCGCTTAGTTGCTACAAGCCAGCCTGGGGCGCTTGTGAGTAGCCTGAACTAGACAGCTGCCACCCTGGGTTAGCGAAAGCTGTTGCGCGAGGTGGAAGGCGCAGAGCCACTGCCTGAGGCGAACGTCATGGCCACCTCCACTTGGAGTTCAAGCGACCCGCGTGCTCACAGACCCAAGCAAGCGTTGCTTAAGGGGAAGCGCCGCTGCCCAGTCAGGCCCGCCACCCGCACCAGTCACGAACCAGCGTAAGGGCAAGACAGCGTGACATCCTCAAATTGGAGCCGCGCAGAGGCTAGTGGGCCTCTCACAGGTGGTGTACCGTGTCGCGCTTGATACATCGCAGTAAGCCTTCCGAACCCACCTTCTGGCGAACTTCTGCGAAAAGAGCCGCGAGCTGGTTCCTGCAGTGCTTCTCTTTGAGTTTTGTGTCTTCTGAGGATTTGGGCGGCATAGCTTCGCTAGTACTGCCCAGAGCGCAAGAGGCTCTTGGCTGCAAATGGCAGCAGAAGGGTATGAATCGGGGTATGAATCGGGTATGAATCGGGGGTATGAATCGGGGGACAGATTTTTTTCGACCGGAAAGACACCAAGAGTACCCCAGGAGCACAAAGACAGCTTGTGTTTCACTGCGACAGTGGCCCAGGACAGACAGCTGTTTCCACCGCGTCGGACAGACTGCAGGAAGCAAGCTCCAAGTTTCAAGCTCAGCACCCCCCGCCACAGCGCCCTGCAAGTCCCAGCGTCTTACGTCAAGCTGCACCCCCCCGCCACAGCCACAGCACCACGGATGCTACAGACAACTCTAGTACCAGGACATCCGCAGGATTGCTCTATAACTCCATCCATTGGCACCGAGTGTCAAGGAACACCACTTGAGCCAAAATGGCCCCCCACGAGTAAGTGGACATGTCAACTGTACTTGGCCCCATGACATCAGAGCCCAACCATGCAAGCAATCGCAGACTGAAGGATACATCCAGGAACCACACGTGAACCAGGTTTTACCTCGGAGTCCCTACCCCTGGCATCGGTCCACATGTCAAGCTCTCTAACACTGTTTCTTGACAAGACCCCCTTCTTCACTTGAAGTTAAACCCCCTATAGCTTCCAGCTATCCATGGATCACATGCAAATGCCACAGTTCTTGCAAGTTCTTTTTCTGTGTTTTTTAAGGGGTATGACTCGGGGTATGGCTCGGGGGTATGGCTCGGGGTATGATTCGGGGGTATGGCTCGCCCGAGCCCCACCTCCCACGAAGACTAAAGAACTGACACGGTAAAAAAACACAGACCCATTTTAGTCAGGGAACCCTCCCCCAAAAAAGCAAACGGTCAGAGGTCGGGCACCAATTGGGGGACCGTTTCTTTGCATCGCCTCCGGGCAGCCGCCCAAAAGTCCTCCTCCGAGATCTGGTTCCGAACCTCGAAGGCTTGGGATCGGGCCGAAGCGTCCAGTGGGATCGGCCCCCGGTCGAATTTCCCGAGCCTTGGGACGGACAACACGTGCACGTTACGTGCTCCGAAGGTCCAAATTGGGGAAGTGCATGGTCCTCAGACACGCAGGGGACCGACGAAAAAGGCGTCCTCAAGAGGTGATCCGAGCTGATGGTGGGAAGGGACAAGCCGGGTTTCCCTGAAGATATGTTGACAATGCTCGCTTGACGGGGCCTAGGGTAAATTCTTTAGGGCCTTTTCCCCCTCCGATTTGGGTGGTTTCCTGCTGGCTCTGGAGAATCAAAGCACATCCCCCGGACTCAAAATTACAACCCAAAACATCCCTCTGAGATGAGCCCGCTAGTCAGGAGGGCAGACCAGGGCAACACAATCCCTTCTCAAGGACCAAGCCAATGCCTTTTGAACAGCCCTCGACTTTCGACTTTCGATCCCATGAACATGTCCAAGGTGCTTGTCCTGCCCGCTTGAAACTTGCGAGCTGCGAATGTCGCAATGGCATGTTTAAACAGGCGTTAAAGCATGCTTTTGGGCAATGGGAAACACGCGTGACGCCTTTGCACATGCCCTGACAATCCAATGTATGCAAATAGCACTTACATTCGTCGACGCCAGCGTTTTTCAACTACATTGCCCCGATAAACCTGAATGTAGCCAATTTTTGGGGACAGTCAAACCGACAAGATCCGACAAGGGTTTCGACAAACTTTCCGACAACCATTTCGACAACTCCGTTCGACGACGCCTTCCAACCACTCTTTTACGTCCGTTGGGGCAACAACTTCAAACTCACAGGGCAGAAAAAGACAAAGGCAGCCTTGGAGTGACGCATTGCAAACTAACAAACATGCAAATTCCTGGCCACGAACCTATAGGGCACAGAAATGACTCTAGCCAACCCCGGCTATCATTGCCGGCAAATGTTGCTTACCTGTCAGCGCGCGATTGACTTGCATAGTGTGCAGGTCTCGCTGAGGACTTTCGCCTGTAACGCTTACCTGGTTGAAGGGCTGGCTTGCAGCACGTGTTCGATAGTTCAAACTCTTTAGTCACAACATTAGATTTCCAGCGCAGGGTGACACCGCAAGCCCAACTTAAAGCGCCCTTGTTGTGTTGAAGTTTGAAGCAGTTGTTTCATCATCTGTTTCGACGAAACTCCCTTTGAAGCCACGTTAGCAGTTCCCAAGCATAATTGAAGCACTCGAAATCGCACTGGTTTAGGCTCTAACGAAGCCTCTACGAACTGTCGCAGACCTTTCTCCTATCGATGAGTCGCAATTCAACAACTCGCAGCTTCAAAGAAGGGTCAGCTTGCTGTGTACGTATATCAAACAGGAATTCAAAATGTGCTGGGAAGGGCTCAAGTGGCCTTGAGGAAAATGATTGAGACTGGACTGGACGGATATGACGCTCCATATGTTGCTTTGCAAGAGCTCGATTGATCGATGAAGCCCAACTATAAAGGACACGCGTCTTCTGAGCAAATCGCAGAGTGTGATA